TTTATTGAGATGAATTCAGAAAGAAGCTAATCATGAGACGTAATTACCTCAATAAATGGAAGATTTTTCTAAAATCAACCAAACTGATCAGAGATTAATTAGAGGTAGGAATCCTGTCGAAAACAATAACGATCAACCGACTAGACTGAATAGTAGAAGCGACAGGATTAATTTGGGTATTACAACTTTCGATCTAAAGCCATTCAAATTATTTCATTCATTTCCTCATTCATGACAAAGCCGGATGTGCAGACTTTTATGCAATCGCGCTTCCCCAGCTAATTTTGCATTGCTTCTACTATAAACTTTGTTCATAAACAGTGCATGTTGATACCGTCATCATCCTAAATAAAGTTTCTTAGACAATAAGCTGTTACCGTACGTAAATGAGTGAGGGGACATTAAGCGTACTCAGAAAAATGCATAAGAAGTACAACTTCCCTAACGGTCATTAAGTAGAAAAGACGAGACTGACTTACTCAAGAGAATTCGAAAAAGATTTAGGCAGGTGGGAGTGGCCCAGGGACGCCAGATATTTTGCAAAATGAATCGTAAAAGACGCGCTAACTCCTTCTCTGTCTGTCCTCCCACTGCGGCAGGAAGGGTGCCACGTCGAGACAGTTCACGCACAACCGCCAACACTGCGAGCGGAGCCTTTGTAACTGATTCAGCGGCTTCTGGCGAGCGTTTGGAGATGATGCGTGCACGTGAACAGACTTGAAGCGCTTCATTCAATGCCCGCGAGTGTTGAAAGCGTAGCAGCATTTTGGTGACTCGACCCATATCCGCTGATTCACGGACACTCTCGCCTCCGCCACTAGCATTTGATACGCGTGAAATTATTGTGTGCTAATGGGAGTGGAAGGTCCAAACGTTAAACAGTATCTTCTTAGACCAGTAAGACAGGAAAGGAATAAAAAGCAAACGCACCTCATGAATGAGTGGTGCTTTAGATCCCTTATGTCCCCAATCCTTCGGGGCGATCCGAGTCCCAACTGCACCAGATTGTTTAAACCACTCTTCAGTTGTAAGAGCCTTGTCCCCCTCTTCGAAATTTACGCCACGCCACTTGCTAGAGAATCGGGAAACCATGGCTTTCAATCCGGGGTCGACAACAGCAAAAGGCTCGTCAATTTCGGCATTGCCACTATTTATCTTCACCCTCTCCTGCTCCAACAGCTGAGAGGGCGTGGTAAAAGCGAAGGTCCGAACGAGACCACTCTCAGTACCAACGATGACGTACTTCAAATTTGGCTAGACAGAGAGGAAAATAAATGAATATTCCATTAACTCAGAAACTCGACGTACAAATGTGGCAATGGCGGTGCAAGGAGAAACAAGGCGCTCCTGATGAAATACTTCGAAACTCTTTAGACTGGAGATACGAAGTAGTCTGTCCATTCCAATGGATAGGAGAAGTGGATCCCGATGCACATCGGGACATTGAACCACGGAAAGACCTGTAATGAGTTTGTAATGCATATAACCTCCAGGATGAGTAAAAATATCGGAAACATCGAGATTTTCCTGAAGGAAGGGCTTTCCAGTGAATGATTCCCAAGTATAAACGTAATGATCTGCTGCAGACACAACAATGCTATCATCGCAGGCGAGATGAAGTGCTGATGGTGTCGATGGAACTGTAAATTTATGAGTTGGCTCGGGCTAAAAATGTTGCCATTTGAGGCTGAAAATAGTTCATTACCTGTCTCATATCATAGACAGAAATGACTCCATTAAAATCACCAACAGAGAAGAGATTGACGTTCACTTTGCCAACAGCCATACAACTAGGAGGCTCATGACCTTGACCAACACGAAAACTTGAGTGTAATTCACCAAGAGCAACGTCCCAGACCTTGACAAACCCATCTTTTCCAAGACTAGCGGCTTTCAGACCATCACATAGAAAATCTGCGTGAAGAACATCACTAAGACAGTGAAAAGGATTCAAAACAGAAGGTACTCCTCATGTGCCTGAAGCTTTCGAAGATGGTAGGAGTTCCTGTCTGTGGTACAAAACTGCAAAATGCCACCCTTCTCTCCACCGACAATCATCTTACCATCTAGACGGAAATTGCACGAAGTAACGGCTTTTGAGAAGCCACCAATCCTTCGATGTTTCACATCTTTTGATGCCTTGTATATGACTATCTAATCAATTTATAGCGCACACTATACAGGCTAACCGATCTCCCCTTAGGCACTGCGTATCTATAGGGCAGTTTATGATTTACAGCAATAGAGCTGACCCGACTTTCCACATGGAAACGTCCGTGTTTCTGTGGGTACATTGGGTTAGTTAATGAGCCTACGTACCTTAAAAAGATCCCAAACACTTTCGTCATATCTTTTGGTTTCATACTCAGACACTACACCACTACGCCTTATCATGTTAAATCGGCTAAAGCATACAACGAGAAATCCGCGCTCAAGGTCATATAATCATCGCCATGATCATTTACAACAGTATAAACAGGCATTGTTTCTAAATTTAAAAAAGTTATAAGTAAAAATAAAAAAAGCTTAACAAAAAATTTTTTAGCCAAAAAAGCCTAGCGATAAAAATCTAAAGTGAAGAGTTCGAAAATTCTTTAGATTACGCAATCGGTTCTGCAAAAACACAGTATATGCTAGATTTTTGAGATGCGTATATTTCTTTAATGGCTTAATAAGTTTTATTACGTTAAAAAGGTATTAGTTAAGGAAGAACACATGTTAATAAGAAAAGGGAGAGGTTGGACATTGGCCATGTAGAGTCCTGAGGCATATCATAGGTCGGAAGCAGGCAAAAGTGAGGTTGAGTACGCTTATTCCGAAGACAACAGGCCAAATGGGCCTGAGCATGACTCAAAGGACAGTTCACGTGCACAAAGACCAGACAAGTCCTAAAATCACCGCCAAACTTCATGCGGTCGCATAAACAAGGTAT